ATAACTGTACTCAAAAAGTCTTTCATCATTAGACATTAAATAATTCTATAACAGCGTTGCAACGAATTGCTGTTCTTTTTAGTTCATCATCCAGGATCTAAAAGAAAAAACAAAGCGCGACTTCTGATGCATATTGCTTGCATGCATTTCTACATATAACGACACCGTATTTAAATACATGTAGTAAACAGAGCAAATTCATACGAACGTGCTGACTGAATACAGAAAGAGTCAGACTCATATAGCGATATACGTGAATACGTGAGACCAAATATGTATAGGATAGGATCAAGTGTATGTTCTATGTACATGTGTATATGAACGTATATTCACGTACAAGCCATTCGCAAATGCTCTTTTCGATGCGAGCCGCAAACAATGTGCGCACCATGTATTTTACATGTAACGAGCTTTGTTCCCCGATGCAAAATCTAAAAAAAAAAACCGATTAATTTTTTACTTTCGGTATAGCCGAATATATAACGATTTTATTCAGTATACGAAAGCGTTCTCTGTATACAGATATGATAACAAGGGAGACATTTGTGACAATTTGCAGTTCCCTCTCTGAAGTTCACTCATATATAAAGAACAGGCGCCAATTATGTAATCTTGCAATTGTAATCTGTTTGATTTTTATTATTATTATTATGGCTGACATGGTTTTTTGCATGAAAAATCCGTTTACTAAAATCGCACAAAGTTTTCATGCAGCCAACATGCATTTTTCAGCAACGGGAATAAAATACAAGACAGCAGATCCACGCGCGCGCGTAAAAGCGTGCGCGTAGACAAGCGGCCGGGTTAGGTAACACACAGAGAAATGGCCCGTAGCAGTGATTCACCTAGCTACAATAAAAATATGTCTCGCTCTCCAGCTTCAGCCAGAATCAACCCCTGTCGAGCAGGATAGTGGGAGGTGGTGGTGGTGGCGGCAGCGGCGGCGGCGGCGGCGGCTGGACTTGGGTTGGCCGACCAGCCAGCCCGTGGCCGCCATTATTGACCATCGGTCTTGATTAGCGCTTGATACTATCCCGTTCTGTGTGTTTCTTGCGGAACCTTCGACGCCCGCGGAAGTTCGGACGCGCTTTTTCTCGCGCCGTCCTGTCAGCCCTTTCCGCCGTCGCGTTATTAATAATATGGCCGTATGATTTATCGTTCGCGTTAGACGTAAATAGGTTAAAGCATTTGTTCAGGTATTCTCATCGTGTAGATACTATACTACGCGTCAACTGTAATCTTGGAAAAATTAGGCAAGTGAAATCCGAAATTGAGAGACTCTTCTTCTATTTTGGTAAAGCATGTTAAATACATATTTTAAAAAAATGAAAGTTTTCATATAAGTTTTCATATGTAACCTAAAATATATGTAAATAAAATGATAATAATATATAAATGATATGACATAAATCTTATTTTTGAAAATATTTTTAAAATAAATTTAAAAAAAAAATCAAAGAAAGATGTTAGTTTTTTAATTATATTATTTCGAAAGATATAAAAGAGTAGACATGAATAAATACAGAAATTGCAAAAAAAATGTATTTAATTTTAACATAAATCTTTTGAGTTGTACTATTCACAATTAAAAAATTTGTATAAATATTAAAGTTTCCTTTTCTAATTTCCTATAAAAACTATATATATATTTATTTATATTTCAATTGTTCTTACGTATATAGATTTATTTTAATACCGACAGTTTTAACAGATTAAAAATAAAATTAATTATTATTCCAATTTATCTAATTATATACGTATAAATTTAAGTTGCTGAGAAGATCACAATAGTTTCTTATTTTCGTATAAAATAAGTTGTAACCATTGCAATATATAGTTACGATTATTTTTTTCCCTCTTCTCATTTTTTCAGCTCTACAATAACTTTTATATAAAAAAACCGGTAAAAAGTTGATATTGATAACCCCACTATAAACGTCACGCTCGTACGTACATCATCGATCTTCCTCCCCATCGCATAGTCTCGTTTATATCGCGAAATCCGATATGGAAATAAAATATAGTCGTATAAATATATAATTTAGAAATAGAAATCTAATAATAATATTATAGATTTCTCGAATCCTTTATTTAAAAGTAATTAAATATTAATTTGTTAAATATATTTGCTTAGCATATTATAGGTAATTAAAATGATTACAATGATACTCGACATAACATCTTGAATTATTTCTGTAGTTCTTTCTACAGAATTACATTATGCGAAACATTTGTAATTAAATGTTAAATTGAAATTATTTTCATAGCTGTTATATAGCAAAGTCAATAATTAAGTTAAATATTCATAAACTTTGATTATTAATATTAAAATATTTTACTTTCTAATAAAAGTATTTGATTATATTTAGCTACATTACAAAGCTATTATCAAAACTCTTAATATCTTTGAGTTTTCATAATTAAATTTAAATATTATTTCTCTAACATTTAAATGGTAAAAACATTTTTTTTAAATAATAATGTTATAATTATGAAATAAAATTATTTATTCTCAGATTATTTAACGTCATTAAAGTATATTGTATAAAGGATTATAAATAATATAAATTAAAACATTTTAAGACTCGTTTCTATCAAATCTTTATTATCTTTACATTTATTTATAGAAATGCATTTTAATTTGCGATTGATATTTATCAAAAGATTTATCCTAAAATAAATTCACGTTTATAAAAATTCTAAAATTTTTATTTTAATATTATTCTAAAAACCATTACTAACTACACTAACTGTAAATATATTACTATACTATATAGATTATTACAGATAGAGTATAATTAAACATATTAGGGGTAAAAAAGCTTATTAAATAAATCTTTTCATTATATCTATATTTTCACATACCATAACTGTCGAAACCATTTGCACCTGTATTGTATTGGTCATCCCTAGTCGCAGTAATTTTTTTCTTTTGATGGAAAACGAAATCTATCGCGCTTGAGAAAGATAGCTTTCTGTTGGCTTTAGGGTTCGCCTCGTATCGTAAACCATCTCTCGAAATCTTGCGCGAGATCGTATCTCGGTGCGCGTTCCCCACGCGTTCCACCGACTTCCACAGTTCCACCTCGTCGTCGCTTCGCGTGCAAGGGGGGCAAACATCGCTCACGGGGCGCAGGCGTGCCGAGAGACTCCCCCACCGACGATTCCCCTCTTCGAGGTGGTGCTCGAGGTAGCGGCGGCGGTCTCGGTGGTGGCCGAGGACGGTAGGTAGGGTGGCAACCTCTCCTCTGATAGCTGCGTATGCGATTTCGGACGGTACGTCCGGTGGGCGACCACCTCCACCTTCCGCGTCCTTCGTGCCCTCCGAGAGAGCAGGGTTCCTGCTGGCCGGTGTACTACGCCGTGCTGAGACTAAAACCGGCACCATAGTACCGCGGCACCTGCTAATCAAATCGCACATTCCACGATCGCGTCGCACGTTCCTCGTCGATAAACGCGAGGATTGCAAATCAAATTTGTGTCTATAGTGTCTGGATGAGTTTCGCGTTTCAAAGAAAACTCGGAATAACGTCACATTGAAATTCCTATTCTACAATACGGTATCATCTCGCCGACTGTTGCCGATTGTTATTGATTTACCACCGCTACTCTCTTTGAGCGAGCGGTATTTACTTTAGAAATTGAAGCATCGTCGCACGTCGGATAATCGGATGCTGATTTGTCGTTGAACAATCAGTAGATAAATTTTTTATCAGTGAATTTTGCGGGACGACTCACAGAGATTCTGGAATAATTCGATCCGTTGTGCATCAAACATCCTCTGTCTTCCTAGATGATCAGCTTAATACAGTCATTTTTTGGTATTGTTCAAAAACATTCAGTGATTAAGCAACATTCGAATTGGAGTATCTTGAAAATTGGATTAATTCTTCTATTACTCCATAACTTCAGTATCTGAAAATCAAGGGACAATTTTATCTGCGGGTACAAAATAGAAGACAGTACTTGCAGAATTTAAAATCTACGGGATTATCGATATCACCAACTTCGACCAAAAATCTACCGCCTCCGTTTTGGCATCCAAGCTAGACACAAGATGAGAAGATATCGAGTCGAGCGAGAACGATCAGCGACGGTCATCGAGGAGTGTCATCGAACGCGCTCGTAGACCGGCCGGACCATCGGGACAGGTCCGCTTCACCGATGAGAAGGAAAAAACGGGCAGGACAACGTGGCAGGTCGAAGATCGCGATCAGGAGGCCGCGGAATTTGGCGTTTCTTACCGACGACCAGCGAGGCTGACCGCATATTCGGGCTGAATCGCCGAATCAACCGGACGGAGAACGGCGGCCGACTAGATCGGTCGCGGTCCAATCGCGTTTTTCTCCGCATCGGCCGATCGGACGATTTACGTCGGGCACGACGCGAAATTTACATCGACACGCGCGTAAAAACCGTCGTCTCGCTACTGATCACGACGAGGACAACGATACTGATTCGATGCGACTCCAGGGGGATCGGATCTTGCAGGAGAGCCTCGGAAACTTCCAGTTTTATCAACCGCGATCGAGTTTGCTCAGCGTTGAAAGAAAATTTTAGCCGCTCCGTAGAATATCGATCGAGATCTTGAGAATATTATTGTCACATTGCAAGAAAAGTTCGAGGAAATATCCATATAAGAAATGAATGCAGTTTGCGGAAAGCTTCGACGTTAGTAAAACGAAAAATACTGATTACAGAATGATTAGAGAACGCAGTTTTAACTGTTGACGAACAATAATGGAAATTAGGCAATTCTCTAGAAAAAAGACAGTAAAAAAAGAATATAGTGCATTGGTACTTAGTTAATCTGTATTTAAGGAAGGTCCCTTTATTGCTATTAATACAAAAATAGTGCGCAAGCATGAATTTTTATCAATTAAACCTTCAGTTGCATCTCAATTTTACACAAAATATTTCCAAGTACTTTTCTGAGTCTTCATCGAATTAGAGAACGTTATTGTGACTCTGTTGCATAAGACATTATACATCTCGAGTAAATGTTTTATCGTATTCGATTGCTTCAAGAACACCGTCGTTTGAGAAGTGTGCTTTCGAAGGACAGGCGAAATCGCGGTGCAGCGAACTCGACGTCTGACTTGATCGACGCTATTCAAGGTTACGAGATAAATCGGGTCTTGTAAAGCGGTCCGATAAGCGGCTGTCGATCTATCGACGGTTCTCGGGGGCATCGACGAGTGCGCGGCCGGCTTCAAGCCCGCACGAAAGAAGTGCGGTGCGTCGACAGCGATTTCCGGCCCAGTCGAAGATTTCTAGAGAGATTCAGACGACGTTGTGTCTACTCGATGCGGTCGCAAGCTGGGACGAACTCGGTGCGAGAAAACGTTGTGTCTATCATGCAAAGGGACATAGATTCGGATCGGTCAAGGTGGAAGGAAACGGCGTAGACTTCGCGATCTACTTTGATCGGAGAAGATTGGAAACATTATCATATGTGTCGCGAGAAACATTGAAGGAAAATACAGAAGGTGGTGAAAAATACACACTTCACGCGGTTCTGAATTAATTTCAAACACGTGATTAAATTTTTGACTATCAGCTTTGATGTGAATCGCGTTATTCATCGTTGTTTCGTGATAATATGTGATTGTTCTTCGCAAATTGCATTTTGTTCGCCAGCAACAGCAAGTACAAATACAAGATTTGACTTCCAACTAGGAGATGAGGAACAGTTTTTATTGGATAATTTTAAACTCTAAGAAAACTAGGATTACAATTAGATGATGTACGTTGAACGTATTTAACATGTGATTTTCTCGATAGGTGCGTCAAAATAGAAATTACGAGAAGATGTAAGTTCAACTTGACGTGCGCTGAGAAGAAATCGCGTCACGGCTAGAAAATCGCATACACTTGTCGAGCCAAGCGGGAACATTGACAATAAGCGATTGTAGGTGGTAGTATAGGCGGAACTATTTACAAACAGCCCATTCAAGTCTCGTGCAACGAGCTCGTAAACGAGTCCCGAGCGCAAAGAGCGCATCTTGTGCAGGAAAAGCATTTTCCTTCGCGATTTCGTCGTTTACGAGCAATGGCACGAATTTCGCAACGAAATTAGGCGCGCTCGAGACTTTTCAAGATAAAGGCCAAGACAAAGAAATGAAATCGGCGTACGTATTCTTTCTTCAATTGAAAACTACTTAGCAATTATTTGTGCAGTTTGCTCCTTCGTTCGAGTATCGGATTGTGTTTACAGAATTATCGAAAGATTTACATCTAGTATAGAAATAGGAAACGTGGAATTAATTACTCGCGAGAGTGTCACAAGAACTGTACTCAGTTTCCTTAGTGTGCTGGTGTTAACGATGACAGACGGAGTGATAAGAAAGTGGGAGTGAATTTAGTGAGCTTTCGAAGCAACATTAATAGTCTTCTCGCGAATCGTCAGCTTTGGCAGAATTCTGAGGAATTTTTTTTTAACAGGAATTTTCTACTTAATATCATCGTTCTCGGAGATTTTTGTTAGATGGCTACTGTTTATTTTCGGATAATCTCTCTTTGAAATATCTTGTACATTAAGTGATTTTGGTAACTCCAAGAGACATTTGAAACATCAGTAATTATATCGTGCGAATTTAAATGACAGTGAAAGATACAACTAAAAAATATTCAGAGATGCAGCTTCTTATCATTGTTTTGTCTGTAACATGGCGACTGAAGCGTTCTTTCTTTGATTTGGAAATAATATAGAAATTTAATAATTGTATTTCACTTTTGGCGAAGAAAGTGCCTTGATGCACGACGGTATACTTCTATGTGCGCGAAAGTTTCTCACTTCAAGAAATCCTACAACAGACTACTTCCGAACGTAATAAAATCTCGTATTAAAATCTTTATCAAACAACAATTCAAGAAATTATCCATCAATTTTCTCTTGGACCAAACAGCAGACAGATATATATCTCGCATAAATCATCTCTTAAGTATCTTCATTGTTCAGCAAACTCAATTCCATGAAAGTTCGTTGATTTGTGACTAATCTAAAACATCAACTTGCGTTATAACTTGAGAAATCATCGATATTATTCAGTGACGATCTCACTGTTCACGCAGAGACAGATTGTTAATCTTAGAAGAGATAAAATCGGGCGAAGAGCGACGATCTCTCGCCAGGAATTGCTTCTCGACACGGCTGCACGAACTCATTCTTAGACTGGAGCTGTACTTGCCATACGCACCGCTGCCGGGGGGCGGCGGGATCCTCCCGGCGGTGAGCGGCAGCGGTGCTTCCGGTGGTTGTCGTCCGGTGCTGCTGGGTGGTGTCGACCTATCGATGTCGGCAGCGGTGCAGCCGCCGGTCGCGACGCTACCGACGAACTTGACCAGCAGCGGCCCAATAGCGGCCCACAATTCTTTGCATCACACATCAGGCGGTGGCCTGGCCCTGCCACTGGGTGCTGCAGCGGGCCCGCCGGTGATGATGCCGCGTCCGCCGCCGGGTGCCATGCCACCGCTGGGACCGACGCTGCCTCCGACCCATCAAGACGAGGACCTGGCCGATGCAGCGCCTAATCAGGACGTCCTGTTGGCGCTCCTCGCGAGAAACAAGAATCTAGAAGGTGAGTGAAAAAGCGACATTCATCCGAGAAAATTCTTCAAAGGATCTTTTGAAAGTAGCAACAATTAACAGGAATTTATTACAGATGTTTCTTAAATTATCTCACATAAGAATCGGTTTGCAAATTTTTGCATTACTTGCATTTGTAAGAAGTTAGATTTTCTAACTAATGAGTCTGAAAGATGAATAGAAAAATGCGATACCTTGATGTGACTGCTCTGCGATTGGATGCCTCTTTTTAAGAAGAAAAATGATTGAATTATTTTCATAGCAAAAATGTTGAAAACTCATAAAATGTTTTATTATTTAGAGTTAAAAAAATTACGTTTTATATATCGGGGAGTTAATTATATTTCGGAATTTAATTAAATTTCTGTTTACATACAAAATTAATAATCACTATTAAAATAAACATAGTTTAAATATTTTACTGAATCTTTTCTAAAGATAGACACAAGGTATAATTTTTTTAAAAAAGGAAATGACGATAAAAAGAAATGAATTTAAAAAATGTAATTATTAAACACTTAGTTTTACATAACTCATTAATCATGAAATGACGTACTATCAATGAACCGATAGAACGATAACTGTGAATATTATCAAAGATTATTTTTGAACGAAATCAAGATTGCTTGTAACTTATGCAACGTTGAAGACGATATTGGAAAAGCTATATTGTAGAAATATTATTTTCATTTTTTTAAACATTAAAATTTCTTAACACATATATCTATTTTGAAAAGCGGTATATTAAAAAAACTATCATCATACTAGCATGATGATGCAACGTTGCAAATATATGTTATATTCTGAGCGTTTCTTTTCTATTATGTCTAAGTTTTCACGATTATTCAACATGACACTTATAAAAGAATAAACATAAATTTTAATACTTATGTAGATTATTATTTTTTATTTATATAACAATTTAAAAATTATTGTATGAAAATATAATACTTTTATGGTTAGTAACACTACCATATTTTTGTTAGTAACATTTATTTAAATTTACGTTGTCGTGATACTTTATTTAATAATAATTTATCTTTTGGTACGATTAAATATATTTGAACAACGTATTTGTAAAAATAAACGTCATTTTCTTTTTACAATTTCTACTGATTGTGAAATATGAAATGTAAATATCAAATGCATCATCAGCGTAAACATTAGACTTCATTTAATTTATACTATTGTTCGATTTTCCATTACGTTCGTTGACTCGGAAACTCATCTGCGGCATTTATTCGCGAAATGCAACTGCCAATTGCTCAATGGCAATTACATCGAAAACAATTTACAGACGGAAGCGCTATGATTAATGGTAAAATTAGTAATAAAACACTTGAACAATTGCACTGGTTGTCGAAACTCGATCGCAACTTAGCTTCTTCGATTTACAGCGCGAGTCGTTTGACATAATTTCTATTCTCAATGACACCGATATCTCGCAATATCAGCTTGTCTTAAAATTCTTGCTTGGATGTTACATGAACAGTGGCCGCTTTTCGATAATGTCTCCATCAGCGATCGATAAGATTAATAGCCTCATCTAAAAATTCGCTATCGCGTCCATGGCACCGTCTTATTGTTTTTCTTTATCGATTTTATGACGTCATATCTTCTAAGCTATGATATTTTAACAAAATGACGTCAAATGTATGATTATCGGCACTAAAGTTCTCAACGAAATGCTTTTAACTAAAATTTTTTTACTTCAAATACTGAAAAAGTCTTTTGCGATCATTTTTATATTAAATTATAATTATAATTAAGCGATTTTTATAGATAAAATCAGTTGTAATTAAAAAATCAGTTGTATTTTAAAGGCACAATAGTAATTCTGTCTCTATAATATATTTTTATCAGTTTTAAAAAACAAGAATTTGTGAAAATAACATCGATAACAAAAAATTTAGTTTATCATAATTTCATTATATTATTATTTTTATTTATTTTTAACTTATATTTTTACAAACATTATGATTGTTTAAAAAAAAACATTGAACTTTTTTTCTTAAATATTAAATATTTATTTTATAAATAACATAAATTTGATTTAAATGTTCAATTATATGCAAATAATAATATATGGATTATAAAAAATATTTAAATCTATATGCTCGCGCTCAAGATTCTATTCTCAAATTATTTTGATCTTATATTAGAATTGGTATTATTAAACTTTACATGTTTTAATTGAACACGGAATCATCTTTACGTAATTTTAGAAAGTAACTTGTTTCGATCTTAAAACGTGAATATAAAAATTATTACTTAACAATAATAAATTGAATCACTTAACAATCAATTTTAACTATTTAATTCAAGTTAGCATAATTAGGCACAGCTGATTAATCGATTTATATTAAATTGATTGCGGTATTACATAATGATTCTACAAGATTACGATATTACAAGCTTTGCAGAATGCAATAATGATTCCCTATGTGACTTATAACATTTATTAATGTCTTTTCTGAACATATACAAGAAATAATTTAGCTCTTTTTTAGTATAACATTTTTTTAATCTAATAATTTTTTATTACAAAAAATTGTATTACGTATATATACAGTAAATTTACATTATTTAATAATTATAGTTACATAATATATTTATTTATTTGTTTATATATTTGTTTGTTTTGTCTAATGATATTTTCTCTTTATATAACAATCACCTGAAATGACGAAGAATATTTCATATCTTCTTATCAAAATAAACTATATTTGATCGGTTGTATTTCAGGGCCACAAGATATCATCTTTGTCTGTAACTGGAATAACATTCGCTATTTTTAATGTAAATTTTTAATGACATACTTTCTGTCATTAGATAAACATTACGTTTCTTAATGCAAAATACATTCGTATCAGAAAGACGCATCTATCTAAAAAAAAGATCTATCTTTATCTGATGATAAAGATGGATTTCACATTTTTCATGTAATAATTGAGTGAAAAATATGTTTAATTATACGGTCAAGGATGAGTCTTTCATTATTTTGCAACTCTGAAATATTTTAAAATTGTAATTGTTTATAATTTAGAAATTGTTGCCTTAATATGTGTCTTAAGAACAATACAATTCCAAATTAATTCAAGAATCAGTGGAAGTAAATAATAAATATGAACGATGTAAGGCACTGTATTATGACATTATTAGAAAGGACACTTTTACTTTTAAATGTTCAAATATAGAAATATCATATAAATATTAGCCGCCCAAGGATGTTAAATTTTATGCCTTTGCACGACTTTTGCTCATCTCGTCACATCGTTGTCCGCCATTTTCATTTTTCTTCTCTGCCACGCGCACCTCGCCTTGTCCTCTGAGTTATTCATCCAGTCGATCTCGGTGAGTGGAGCAAGGTCGAAGGCTTCCTAAATTATGAACGTCCGCGGCTGGAAGACGACCTCGCAGTAGTAGTAATGCAGAGTCGACGACCGATTTTCCGAATGAATATTAATTCACGACGGATCGCGCGAGTTTAGCGATAATTAAATTCGCCACCCCGTAAACAGAGGCTCGTGACCTCGTAACCCTTTCGGAATTCAAGTATGAGTTATACTTTACTCTTATTACGAACCGACATCTGCGGTGTGTGTGTGTGTGTGTGTGTGTGTCTCTGCGTGTGTGTGTGTGTTGGGATTATTTCGATTATCAATCAGGGTAACTCAGAATTTCATTTTTTAACTGTGCTGTGTTTTAACCGAGGAAATAATAATTTTGCATATGATTATCTTTTTTATTAACATTTAGATTTAATATAAAACATTTTAAATAATATTTAAATTAAAAAAATTTTAATAAGACATATTATAGATATATCATCAGCAAAGTTTATATGAAATAAAATTTCTTTCATTTCGCAAAAAGTGTTTATCGAGTATAATTTCGAATAAATCAATTTATTTAAAAATATACTGTAAAATATACAACACTTTTATTATTTTGATATAATAAAATTCAAATTTTTAAATCCGTTCTAAATTTTATTCTTTATATTTCATCAAACTTAGCTCGAAATTGATTCGTCTTGTAAGAAAATTACATCTTCAAATTCAGTCAGATCGATTATTAGTGCCATAATCGCTGTAAAAATTAACACCTATCATGAAAAGGGTAGATTCAACCGATCGTTTTGTGACCCGGAGAAACCGATGAACCTCTGGCCGGCTAAGCGTTTCTGGGTAATAAAGAGAGCGAAGTAGTTCGCGGCTCCGCTTTTGTTAAAAGGGCGCGGCGAGGGTGGCGGATATTTTAATAAGGTAAGTGCTGCAAGGCCGGTTGCTATGCTATTGGGGCGGTTTAATCATGTAATGTGTTCGGAGGCTCGGCCGTCCCGCAATCGATATACGGTATTGCTTCGGGCACGACGCGGCGCGTACGTACGACGCGCTTAAATCCCACACCCGACCTAGAACTAAACTTGCGAGCTGTGTAAGCCACGTCAGAGCCACGTCAAAGCCCGGGGAGAGGGTTTGCCAATTTTCTTACTAATCACAGCAAACGCTATTGCAAACGCGAGATCCAAGATAGGCTTGCCGCGGACTTCATCTCACGTTATAACGATTGTTTGATCGTCTGATCCCAGTAAACATCAACTATGACAGTAATATAACATTAATGTTATGTTATGTTTACATAATTAATGTTTACTGAGAACGTGATAAATTATATATTGCAATATAAATTATTTTATGTTGAGAATTATGCGCAAATATGAGATAAATGTATAATTTGTCTGGTTTATACATAATACTAATGGAACTTATGTCATTATATTTGACATAGATCTTATTTAAGATTTGACTTCTCGATATTAATTTTAATTTATTCTTTTTTTTTTTATTCTAACATTAGAAAGACATGAAATAAACGAACGATGAGACATCTAATTTAACTGATTTTGACAAAATATGTGTATCTTAATTAAAAGGAGCAAAATTGGATAAAGTGATAATAGAAATAAGACAATAAAATTCTCTATTT